CCAGTGCTTTAAAAATCACAGAAATAGGTTTCAATTGATATTTAGTTCATTATTCTGTTTGAAGTATCTTGTTGATTTTATAGGTCTAATGTGATTTAGGTCTATGATGTCTTTGTAGGAAATATCAGAAATAATCCAGATTCTGGATTATGAGAATCCTATTTCTTTTTTTTTTTTTTTTGCGATATGTGGGCCTCTCACTGTCGTGGCCTTTCCCGTTGCCGGACGCACAAGCTCAGCGGCCACGGCTCACAGGCCCAGCCGCTACGCGGCTCACGGGCCCAGCCGCTACGCGGCATGTGGGATCCTCCCAGACCGGGGCACGAACCCGTATCCCCTGCATCGGCAGGCGGACTCCCAACCACTGCGCCACCAGGGAGGCCCATATGAGAATCCTATTTCTTAAAATGTTTATATCATTAACAGAAATTTGTATTGATATTTGAGCTATGGGTGGATAGTCTCAAGTATCAGCTCTGGCTTAAACAACACATGCCCTAAATAATACATAATGAGTTTGGTATTTATATTAAGATAAACTGAATTTTCTCCCTCTTTCCTTCCTGTTCTCATTTCTTTCTTCCTAAATTAAAAAAAAAAAAAATTAAAAACATTAACTGAAGTTTTGGGGAAAACCTGCCCATAGCTCTAGCTTTCCAAAACAGCTATTTTCATTTTTCATGTATTACTTTCTCTCTTTCTCCACAGATATGGATGTTTCATGTGATTAAAGTAATGTTTTATGCAATTAAAATTGTAAAGAAAATTTATAAATCTTAGCACTAAAAAAATAAGTCCTGGGCAAATGAAATGTGTACTGAGAAAAAAAAAAAAAAAAAAGGATAGGATGAATATTAGGATTTGAGAGCCATATTAGGTCCAGCTGGATTGTCTGATGTCAAAAATAAGGCTGTTCAGGGCTTCCCTGGTGTCGCAGTGGTTGAGAGTCCGCCTGCTGATGCAGGGGACACGGGTTCGTGCCCCGGTCCGGGAAGATCCCACATGCTGCGGAGCGGCTGGGCCCGTGAGCCATGGCCGCTGAGCCTGTGCGTCCAGAGCCTGTGTTCCGCAACGGGAGAGGCCACAGCAGTGAGAGGCCCGCATACCGCAAATAAAAATAAAAAATAAGGCTGTTCAAAGTATTAAAACATGACATGTTCTGAGATATCTAAAATTTATCCCAAAGAGGACTCAGGAGATAGGATTTAGATCAGAGTAAGTAAAATTTTCTTCTCTCATTACAAAACTTGATAAATATTAGATATATCTGCTTTCAAACTCTAATAATAAAATTCATGTAAAGCAAAAAAATAAATAAAATTTATCCCATTATTTGCCCTTGGGCTTCTCTATTTTTTTGGATAAAATTTATTTAAAAACATCTACTATGCTTTTGCTCTGTTTATGATATAGCAAGAAAAGAATGAGATTTAGATGGAGAGGAACATGCTTGAGTTTCTTCTCCATCACTTACTATGTGATCAGTACAACGTTCTTCACCTTTCTGAGCTTCAGTAGAGATAAAAATTGTTAAATCACAGAATACTTTAAGATTGGATTGAAAATGCTAGTTTTGGATTTACATGCCATACACATACTTATAGTTACAGAGAAACATGACTAATTAACATGTATAACTAATAATTGTATTTTTTCTTTGTGACTATGGTTATCATTTGTGGAATGAATGTCCTTTTTATGTAAATGTTGGTGGTTTGATACATTGGTTAGGTTATGTATAAACTCCAAGATCTTATGAGGAAACTTGGCTTATCCAAGATCACTTGCTGGTGAGTGACAAGGCAGTGCTAATGTATGTTATTTTCTATTTGAGTGTCCTTTTTGATAGGTCACACCATAGCCACTTAGCAGCATGTTGATACCTTTAAACAGCATTTAAACATTCCTTTGTCTGTACCACAGATCACATCAACATCATAACATTAACTTGTTTCTGATTATAAAAAATAACACTTGGAAAATAAGAAAGAAGAAAATGTAAGAAACAGGTTATTATATTCCTCTCGTGGAAATAACCGTTTACATTTGTGTTGCCTCCTAAGTTTTTTTCTCACTGTAGAGCTATTTTCGCTTACTGTTACATAGGTGTATTTTCCCATGTCCATCTTACCACCTTTCTTATTCAAGTTTTAGAATATATATATGTAATAAAGTAGCAGCTTAGAAAGGATAAAATAATTTCCTACAGAAAAATGAAGATACTCTTAACTCTATCTTTTACGAGCTAAAGAGTTAAAATGCAGAAGAAACAGGCATTGGCAGATTCCTTTACTAAGGTCCTACTTGTGGTTTGTTTGGAGAGGATAATGCTACTTACGATGTCTTCAGAGATCAGTGTGGTACGATGGGGAGAGAGCAAGGCTTTGAATTCGGGCTCGCTTGAGTGAATCCTGGCCCCATCACCCACCAGCTGCGTGATGCTGGACCATCACTTAAACTCTCTGACCTCTGGTTTCCTCAACTTCAAAATGGGATGAACATGCCTGCCTTTCAGGGCTGCTATAGGATTAGACACAACAACCGTCAATAGAGTGCCTGGCCCGCCATCTGGATGAGATGATAGTCAGAAGCAACCTAAGGCCTGAGACTTGTCAAATTTAAGCATTCAATATGGAGAGCATGTTATAGCCATAAGCCAAGATATAACTCTGTTCTGAAACGATTTATTTGTATAATTCACCATTTCCTCTTTCTCTTGCAAATATGATTACTTCCAAAAGAGAAGAAAATGATGAAAAGTGAAAGTGGCTTCAGTTGATCTCTGATTGGCAGGACCCTTCACTATGAGCTGCAGCAGCCCCGGTCCAGGTTGCGGTGTTCCCTTTGTCTTGGGGGACACCCTTGCTGACGGTCCGTGGCATGATGAGCCAGGGTTAGGTTTGGGGGTTTCACAGATGAGTCCCCAAGGATTCACGCTCCAGGCCTCCTCTTGTTGAGGCAAGAGATCCAATTCAGAAAAAGCAAATACCTTTTCAAGACACTGAAAATAATTTCAGAATGAAAATAGCTTTAGTCAGCCCTATTGTGGGTGATAGGGCAGGCGGTATCAATTCTGAAAACTTAAGTTGTTGATTGAACATACAATAAAAGTGAAAAATCACTATTGCTTTTAGCCACTAAGAAAGTCAATACCTGGGTGTATTTGAGGAACAACAACACCAACCTTATCTTTATTTCCACACTAGCTGTAGAGTTAGAGGAATCCACAGGCCTGCCATGGTTGCTCATGTCTCATCTAGGATGAGTCAGAGATGCAGACACAGCCCAGATAAGAATGCAAGGAGGGTGGTGGTTAAGGATTGTAATAGCTACAAGTACGGTATTAAGCCGGTAGTTAATTCTCATAAGGGAAACAGGAGGATGTCTCTAAGAACTGTTACCTAAGTGGTCCTTGCAGGATGAACAGAAGTTCACCAGTAAGGATAACAGCCTTCTAGGCCCAGAAGACTGTATGAGCAAGACACAGCATGTGTAGTATATTGCAGTTCGGGGAATGGAAAGTAACCATGTGGTTGTGGGTCCTAAGGAAGGGGGAGGGGAGGATGAGCTTGAAGCCACCGCGCTAGTGCGACACTTGACTTTTACCAAAGACAGCAAGATTTTTACTTCCATGCCAGTGAAATGTTGGGAATGTTATATACTTGGTAAAAGCAGAAAGAATAACTTAGCCAATCAATAGAAAAGAGTAATTTTTTAAAACACAGAAAAACATTCAGCTGTGCACCTGCTGAAATAGACCATTTTTTTAGGAAAGTGGACAGTGTCCTATCTCAGTCCAGCTAGTGGGCAAATGCTGCAGAGTTAACTCCCCACCACACATCAGAGATGTATCAGCCTAGGTAACCTGGTGGACCACACCGCTAAAGCATCTGCTATGGCTCGTCATAGAAAGTGTTAAATCCCTTATGCCCTCAACCACTGATGCTCTCTCAACTTGCAGAAGTCACCACTGATTCGGTTAAAGGTACCTTTACAGAGAGAGGTTTAAGGAGAGGCAAACGTGTATTTTTAAGAGAAAAAATATATTTAAAAAACACATATATTACTCTTTCAAACTTAGGACAGTGATAAGAGACACTTTGGTAGGGGCACAGGCAGGAAGTACTCAAGTAAATGGAAGAGTTGATAGCGTAAGACCCGTGCTCTTCTCAGTACGTTGTATTCTCCTAATGCTTTCTTGATTTTTCCCTTTACTTTAAGCACTAGAGGGGAAGTCAGGAAACCAGGATTCAGAGCCAGCCACAGCGTTTTCTAAACATCTGCCTCATCTCAGACAGGTCTCTTTACTTTCCTAGCCCTCCATTCCCTCATGTCCCTGGTGAGAGGATTTTCGAGTAGGTCCCACAGGAAGTAACAGAGCTGCTTCACTGGCCTCTCTGGAAGATGACGGGGGTCTCCCGCCAACCCTTCCTTTCCAAGAGAGCGGCTTCACTCTCGTTTGTATTATGAACAGGGGCTTTTATAAGGATTATTGATAAAAGGATTCTATCACTTTTTAGAAGTCTGGAAAAAAAAAAAAACAGAATCAGGTATTTCATGGGGCATATCCAGGTCAGAAAGAATTTCCACATCTGGAGAATGGGATAACAGTAGTTCCATTTCATAGCTATCTGGGGGTTGAACAAGATTACTACATGTGGAACAGGGCGTAGAACAAAGGAAGCGTTTGATGTGTTAGCTATTAACCCCCCACCCCAACAGGTCCCTCACAAATGAGACTGCATTTTATACAACTCTTAAACTTGGAGTATGAGCTGTTGGCCTGAAAAAAATTGCCTAATCCCTCTGTTTTCTATCAAAAAACACTCTAAAAATGTCTTGTACATGTTCTCTGTGAATTTTTAGTATAACCGTTTTATTTCTATTTCTTGTACATCACTCTTTCTCTCCCACAACCAAAAGTTTTCTCCTCACATCAGATTTTTGAAATACGTCTGACCGGATGCAATGATGAAGTTGCACATATTGGTGTGTTTCAGGCTCACCAGCGCATGGGAAAGTGACGTCAGTGTCCACTGCCTCACCCTGCCCTCTGCAACCTGCTTGGAGCTGCTGTTGATATTGTCAAGGAGCAATGCCACGTTGCCTCCCTCCCTCCGCTGCATGAATTCTTTCCAGGTAAGGCATGGCTCCTTTACCACGGCGTGATTTCTCAGTTTGACTTGTTATCGTTTTTTAAGGATCCTGTCTTTAACAGGCGCTAGCCCACGGAAACCCACATTTTCACAGGATAGTAATAACGAGCACAACGCGTGTATTGCCTTGTTCTGTCTCTTTCTAAATGGAGCCTCAGAACTGATTAGATAATTGTCTAGTAGTGGCCGAACCCATGTCTCTCTAACCCGGGGTTTGTTCTCTTCATCTCCGTCTTTCCCGTCTCTGAGAGAAGAGGCGGGAACGTTCGGCAAAGACACTTGTGAATGCCACTTCCCTTTTCCCAGCTTTGCCCTAGAACAAGGATTTTCGGCCATCATTAGTATCTTTGCTGCTTTTATCTTGCAGTCAGATTGCCGAATGCAGGTTTAACAGTGGCTGCATCCTCCCCGCACTCTCGGCACCTTTTCCCTCTCTCCCTACTCCCTCCCTTCTCTGGGTATTTATCTGTGCTCCTGGTCAGAGCCTTACAGAACAGAACAACACATGTGGACTGACCAGCAGGAAGACACCTTCCCTGGTAGGCAGCTAGTTGTCACCAAGGTGGCATATGAGAATTCACATGTTGTCTGGTCACTTCACTTGTGACCATATAGCTACTGAATGTTATTGAACTTATCTGTGACTCTCAGCATTGGAAAAATATTCCCAAGCCCTCTGAGCCTGTTGAGCAGGCCATGTGCATTGCTGAGAAATGACTGAACGTGGGTGGCTTGTTTCTACTTCTGAAGGGTTGCTGATGTGTCCTAAGATAACTTCAGAATTGGTGGATATTGCTCGGTGCATCTCTGTGGTAAAACAAGACGTGGATTTTCCTATGAAATATAGCTCAGGAATTTGGTAAAAAGAAGAATAATAATAGCTGCTCCATACTAATTTGCATCCGTATTCTGCTGGTACTCTGTTACCTTGATTGTCTCTGTGATTTTCTTCCTGATACACACATTTCGGACTTTGGCTGTGTCATACCTGTTTGAATTTATCATTACTCGATGATCAGCTTGAAGGTCCTAGATTCAAGGACCAGAGAGAACACCTTCCCATTTTGTAGGAGAGGAAACTGAGACCCAGAGAGATGGAGTCAGTTGGCCAGGGAGTAGCCAGCATGTTAGAGACAGAGCTGGACTCGCCAGGCTTACGCTGGGTAACAGCTTCTGCTACCCAAATTCAGTGCTCGCCGAAGCCCCAGGAGGTGGACGGGGTGTGAGTGATCATATCTGCCTTGGAATGTCCACAACACTCCCTTATTATGTGATTATTGTAATTATTTGTCTACTGACCTGAACTGGAACTGATTTAAAATTCTGTGTATCAATCCATATGTCTTCTAAGTTTTGCTCTTTGGATTGAACATTGAATAACACAAAAGTTCACCCACAAACTTTTATGGGAGATGCGACAAACTTAACAGTGGGGGAGCGAGGGTGGAAGACAATTATTTTTTATTTCACTCCCTTCTACACTGTTGGAAGTTTTTATATGATGGATGAGTGAAGAGCAAAAGAGATGACTCGGACTTGGAGGATTTTACAGCCTATTGGGGGAGATAGAACTGTCATCCATGGGTGATATAAATCTAGAGTCATTTTATTACAAGGTAGCCTCTGCGCAAGTCTTAAAGAGATTAAAGGTAAAAGAGTAATCTAGGTCAGGCGTGGGGGATTTGAGAGGAGGCCCAATCTGTATTTCTTCTCCAGGAGACGGAGGAAAACCAGCTCCTTCAAGGCACTCACCTCGAGCACACATACGCACACAGGCACGAAAGCGTGGCCCGCCCCGCGTGCCATCCGTGTTCATTCCCGGCACCTGTCATCACAGGGTCTCTCTCACCGTCAGGATGTTAATTGCTGACTGTCCCTCTCTATTAGTGACTGCTTCTGCTTTCAGTGCATTTGCTGAACATGATTGTCAGGGGCACACACACTTTTCCCAGTTTCAAAGGTACAGAGAAACTGGGTGCGGGTTCACAAACAGTGTCTGCTAAAGAGATCTTGTCCCCTCCGTTACCCCTGGAAAGATGCATTCTTATCAAGGACACACCAGAAATTGACTTCCCCATGCAGGTCTTCACTCCAAGATAAAGGATCAGTGAACAGGGGAGGATGTCTGTCAGGATTAGAAAGAGATGCTCTGCTTTTTCTTCGGAACACCTGCCTCATCAGTTATTACAATGGCAAGGAACTGGGCTGCTAACGTTGCCCGTGTTGGGGATTTATTTCTTCAAGTGGAAACTCACTTTAGTGCGCGTTTTGTTTTGTTTGTTTGTTTGTTTTTACAAAGAGCTGTGTTGGGGCTTCCCTGGTGGCGCAGCGGTTGAGAGTACGCCTGCCGATGCAGGGGACACAGGTTCGTGCCCCGGTCCGGGAGGATCCCACATGCCGCGGAGCGGC